GAGAGAGAGAGAGAAGAAAAGGGGTCCCACGTCGGAGACGTTTATGGTTAACAAACAGGACATCTGTTTCACTTTTTCAAATCTGGGTTTGAAGTTCTTAATTTTAACCAGAGGCTCCAATCAAACTTAAGAGTTCTGAGAGAGTGATTCTTTCCCTGAACCACAAAGAGGGTTTAAGTGACCAGGAGGGTCTAACCTTAACCTCCAGAAAGCAAAGGGACCTGCGATAACGCTGCCAGTCTTGGCAGGTGCCCGGCGCCGCGCGCTGTGCTGCGCCGCCGAGCGGAGCAGCCAGCAGCGCAGTGCCACCTGCAGGCGGGGCTGGTTGCGCGGCCCCCGTCGCAGCTTTGGAGCCTTATTCTTCCTAGGAACAGTAATCGTTTCTGGTTGCTGGTGTGCCCCTGCAGGCTGATCATGTGTTCTGGTGTGCCGCTAGTGAAGAAAGCACGTTCTGTATAATGTTTGTGAAAGTAGAATTGCTTAGGGTTGAAGCCTTTATGAAAAACCCTTGTGTGCGCATTTTTCTTTTTTCTTTTTCTTGGTAGAGGTTGAAATTCTTGTGATTTTAGGGAACATCAGCAGTTATTTACTTTGGAAGCATTGACACTCCAGGCACTTAGTAGAAATGATATTTTGACATTAGGAAGTTGGCTAAAGGCTGCTATTTGGAATCAGACTATACTACAGGCCACGAGGACTAGATTCATTCCACATTCCTTTAAATTAACAAATTAAAAATGTAGTAGTTGGAAATATTATGCTTGGCAATAAGACTATTTACTCTGCTCCCTGTTTAATAAGAAAATTTAATTCAGTAGGCTTGGAAAATGAATTTGGTTTAAATGAGGATTCAGTACTCAAGAATAATAGCTAGTTATTAAGAAGAATTTTTTATTTCTTTCATTTTAGTAAACGGTGTTAAAACAAATACTATTAGGTTTTTATAATAGCAGGAAGGCTGTGGATTTTAATACAGAGCAGAAAACATACTAATGTTTTGGGTACCATGAAACAAAACCATCTATTTTATGAATGCAGTTTTTCATATTATTAAAATAAATGTAAGAGAAAATGGCAAAACATAATTCATAAAATAAGCCACTTTGTGAAGCAGAAGTATTAAGGAGTGAAAAATTATGTCTGCTTACCATAGAAAGGAAATGGACATTCTTTAAGAAGGTACTTTGTATGTCTGAGATGTCACGAGCGTTATACATACACTCTGTTCTTTGGTGGGTGCCTGTGATTAGTAATCATTTTTTATCAAACAGCAGGGTATACAGTCACACAGACCCATATAAATTATCAGAATGCAAGTTAGACCTCCCAATGGGTAAACTTAATTTATGTTCAGAGTCATTTTGAAATAGTCTGTATTGTTTTCCAGTGGATAAGTGTACTTTCTTCCTTCTGTTGACTCTGCCATTCTTCACTTCACACACTTCTTCAGAGCTGCAGATTAGGCTCCCAACTTTACATGAGATTAAAAAGATGTAATGAGGATAAATGATTTACAGAAGGAAAAATCGCATGGCACACATTTTCCTGAATGTTTTATACCTCTGAATGAAAATAGAAATAAACACACAGAAGCACACAAGAGGAAAAGCTGAAATTGATTTTATGAGTCTCAGCTCCAATTCTTTGTATAAAAATTCTTAGGATAATTTTTATAGCAGCAAATGTGAAACTGCCTTAGATGGAATGTCATCAAGCGGCTCTGGGTGTGTTGACAGGATTTTCATGATGAACAGGTTGCAGTTTGTTTGATGTGTATATCGCACATCTGGCTGGAAGTTACTAATTTACATTGTCTTAGCAAATTAAATAGATGGCTATTGATTCTCTATGGTAGCAGTGAACTACCACATACATTTGTTTTCAGGGCTAGTTCTCTATGAAGCCTGAGAATGATAAGTGAATTCTTTCCAAATATAGCATCTCAAACAATATACTTAAAACCACAAGCCCCTCAAATAATTTGACAGACCAGATGTTTTCCAAATTTAGACATTTTAATAGCATACATTTTGAAGGGGTTTCCATGTCATGAAGGTAAAGAGAATTTAATATAAGCATTGGTTAAATGAAGGTGTGACATTTTGATGGAAGCTGCGTCATAGGAAACTCATTTTTTTCTGATTTCCTGATGGTAAATTTATGGCTGAAGTTAAAATATGTGTAGAAAAATCAGTCATTATTATCTAACAAATGCAATGATGAATAGAAATATTCAGTAACTTTGTCTTAATAAGCAGCTGCAACAGTGAATGTAGGAATTTTAGAGTCATGTGGTGCCTTTACTGGCTTTTGTCTGACCACCATACAAAATGTTAGTGTTCTGAAAATCTGGAGAAGAGACAGAGAAAACATAGATTAAATTTAAAAAATTCTTTTTAGTTTTTCTGTGAGTCCTTGAAGTTCCCTGAAGCTCATATAGCTCTTCATTGAAACTCCAGAGAACAAAACAGAACAAAAAACCCCAAACTAAAAAACTGACCAGCCTGTAAGCTTAAAACAAAACAAAACAAAACAAAACACATACCTTGTAAGCTTAAAAACAAACAAACAAACAAACAAAAAATCTTATAAACTTTGAGTACCCACAGGCTTTGAAATAAGTTTTAAGTAGGATGGTCCCTGCTCCCTGATTATTTTCGGGAAAAGAAGAGATGGAGCTAGTGTCTAGTAATAGTGAATGTGGGGAAAGCCCAGAAACGTCTGGAGAGTGAAAAGGAACATACTGTGTAAAACCTGATTTTCCTGAATTTGTATTTCCTTGAGTTTAATTAGTAGTATTAATTATTCGTAGCCAGTTCAGATGGAAAACATTAGTACATAATGTGAAGAAAATTGAAAGTGTGGAACACCCAATAAACTACAAAAAGTAATTTCTAGAAAAACGAAGGGTCTTTGTTCTCTTTATGTTTTAAAAAATTAAACTTTTAAAGTCTACTTTTAAGAATAAACCAATAAGGTCTAAAAATCCTATTTAAAATACTTTAAACATAAATCTTTCAAATATACAGAAAAGTCAAAATAGTAGTTCAATGAATATCCATACACACATCATCTATTATATGTCATATTTGCTTTATGTCACTCTCTTCCTATATGTATGTCTATTTGTGTATTTTTTCTCCACTGAATCATTTTAAACTAAGCTACAGACATCATGATACATCATCCTTAAATAACATTCTCCTACAAAGCCACTGTACCGTTTATGATGGCACATTTAAAGTGTTCAAAACTACTGTGTAGAAGGTTGCAAAAATATACATTAGATCTATTTACTGATGCCATTAAAGACAATCTACCACTGAAATTCATCAAGGACTCGCTGATGTGTGACCTCATTTAGGCTGATTGATAGACAGTATTTTGTGAGGGGACTTCTGTAGGATATAGTTGTAAATGTTCATGTATTTTAAACTAGACTTCTAATGAGAATTGTACACTAATACAATTCTGATATTTTATCTGGAAAATAAAAGAGAAGATTTTGAGAGTGTTTTGGTAGTTTTGAAATCAGATACATTTAACATCTTCAGCCATTTTTTGTTGGTAAAGAAGCCATCTCTGCTTATTTCCGAAGTTTAGGATAGAACACTGTTTCAGTGGAAAATCTCATATGTTGTTTTAGAGTGAGTCACTGAACATATAGAAGAAAGTAATTTTCTGTGTTACGACTTCTATCTCAGTGTTACAGAAGGCAGAACAAAGAGAGAATTTACATCTGTGGTCTGTATTACACTTGCTATCTACTGAATAACCCTTGCAATTTGCAGAAAAGTTAGGGCAAATATCAAAGGAGACATACTTCCTTCATGCAAAAGAAAAAAAAAGGAGTCTCTACATTTTAATTATTGCAGGCCCCTTAATTTTTGTTCTTCTTTGCATAAAACCATTGTAGTTCTCTCAATTAGAAAGGGTTTTTAAGTGTTACTATAGTCTGTGAATAGACACCTCACATATCCTTACTATAAAGCAGCAAACATTACAATATGCTTATATTAGTTTGCGCTTTCAAGTACATTAGTAGAGCTGAGTTACTTTGAGTGATTAACTTAAAAATGTATAATTAATTTAAAGGCCAGTGATGTTATTACTATGAGGAAATTTTAGAAAATGCTTTTTAAAAACTTGACCAATAATATGTGTAGTTATAAAATGGACTTTGTTTTCCTGGTTGGCAAAACCACCCTTTTATATTGCAAATAATGTCAAATGAAGCAAACTACACCAAAATATAAAATAATCTACTCTCATGTGCCTCAGATCTATGGAGCACTTGTTGCATAGATTTAATGTTTTTGATCCTTAAAAATGATGATCATGCACCAGTATATACCCATAAATTAGATTTGATCCTTAGTTGTGTTTAATTATGCTGATGATAACATTAAGCATCAAAGCCCCAACTGTCCTTTTCAGCCCCAACTGATCTTTTATGTAACTGAATAATCATAGAAACAAATTGAAGACACGTTTGTATAGATAGAAATTTATAACAACCAAAACTAATAGTAATTAATAGTAATTTTATAACTAT